GAAGCAAGTACGATTTGAAATCTTAGCAATTTATTAAAAGAAAAAAAAAAAAAAAAAAAAAAATATGTACATAAGTATTCACAGCCTTTGCCATGACAATCAAAATTGAGCTCAGGTGCATCCTGTTCCCACTGATCATCCTTGTAGACGTTTAGAACCATCAGGAATCCTAGAGCGGGCTGTCTGTCCAAAATGAGCGATCGAGGGAGAAGGGCCTTAGCCAGGGAGGTAACCAAGCACCCGATGGTCACTCTGAAAGAGCTCCAGCGTTTCTCTGTGGAGAGAGGAGAAATTTCCAGAAGAACAACCATCTCTACAGCACGCCACCAATCAGGCCTGTATGGTAGAGTGGTCAGACGAAAGCCACTCCTCAGTAAAAGGCAAATGGCAGCTCGCCTGGAGTTTGTCAAAAGGCACCTGAGGGACTCTCAGACCATGAAAAACAACTCTCTGGTCTGATGAAACAAAGATTGAACTCTTTGGCCTGAATGCCAAGCGTTATGTCTGGAGGAAATCAGGCACTGCTCACCACCTGGCCACTACCATCCCTACAGTCCATCCCTATAGTGAAGCATGTTGGTAGCAGGATCACGCTGTCGGGATTTTTTTCAGCTGCAAAAACTGGGAGACAGGATTGAAGAAAAGATGAATGTAGCAATGTACAGAGACATCCTTGATGAAAACCTCTGGACCTTAGCCTGGGGCGACGGATCATCTTTCAATAGGACAACAACCCTAAGCACACAGCCCACATAATAAAGGAGTGGCATCAGGCCAACTCTGTGAATGTCCTGGAGTGGCCCCCAGACTTGAACCCGATTGAACATCTCTGAAGAAGAGATCTGAAAATGGCTGTGCACTGACACTCCACATCCAACCTGATGGAGCTTGAGAGGTACTGCAAAGAAGAATGGGAGAAATTGCCCAAAAAATAGGTGTGCCAAGCTAGTAGCATCATACTCAAAATGACTTGAGGCTGTAATTGGTGCTAAAGGTGCTTCAACAAAGTCTTGCGTAAAGGCTGTGAATACATATGTTTTCTTTCATTTTTTATTTTTAATAAATTGCAAAGATTTCAAAACAAACTTCTTTCACATTGTCATTATGGGGTATTGTTTGTAGAATGTTGAGGAAGCATCTAAGTTGTCAGTTTCCTCAAAGACTGGCTTCCTCGACGGCGGTGACCAGCTCATCTTTGGACAGGCCCCTGCAGATCAGACCTAGGTCCTGGGTACTTTCTTCCAAACTGGCCATAGTCCTATTCTTGTATTCGCCACCCCAGGTTAGATCCAGCATTGGGGGGGGGGGGCTGTTGCTCTCCATTGTAGTCTTCTGCAGTCTGATCCCACCGCTTCCAACCAGTTTGTGATAGAGGTGTCGGTGGGACAAAACATACTTAGAGAGTAGGAGTACACATGAGGCTTTTATAGAAAGGCAAGCAAAGAGTTAAGTCAGTAACACAGGACTTGGCCCACAGCTAGGAGGATAGAGTCTGGCAGGCAAAGGGTCAATCTGCACATAGGAACTGGGCACACAGCAAGGTTGGCAGAGTTCTGGTAGGCAAAGGGTTAATCTGCATATAGGAACTGGGCACACTGCAAGGATGGCAGAGTTTTGGAAGGCAAAGGGTTAATCCCAACACAGGGACTGAGCACACAGCAAGGATGGCAGAGTTCTGGTAGGCAAATGGTTAATCCCCACATGGACTGGGCACACAGCAAGGCTGGCATAGTTCTGGTAGGCAAAGGGCTAATCTGTGCCCAGCAGGGGTGGCAGAGTTCTGGTAGGCAAAGGGTTAATCTGCACAGGACTGGGCAAACAGCCGGGATGGACAGAGATCCAGCACAACAGAGCAAAGTGCTTGGCACAGGGTTGGACACACAGCAGCAAAGGTGAGCAGCACTTAGGCACATCAGGGGTTAAATGACTCACCAGCCAGCACATCCTGACAGGGGAATCCTGAGGCTTATAGGTGAGGCTGACCTCTGCAGCTCAATATGTTTAGGGGGTAGAGGAACAGGAAGAATGACTTGCCTTAAAGCCCTGCTCCAGAAATGGTTCTCTGCTCCCTGACATTTCAGACTGTGAGCAGGCCCCTCAGTGTCATTGTGTACAATGCAGGGCTAGAAACCCTGCATTATAGGTGAAGGGGCAAGTAGGAAGTGCAGTTTAGAGAAAAGGCTGTAGGAATCCAGTCACACCGATAGGGGGAGCCAGCAGGATAAGGTAAATATTACTCTTTATTCCTCCTGCTGCAGGCTTATCGTAGGGTGACTAGACAGTCCCTGTTATAGGGGGCTGTCACCAGGAAAAAATGTCCCAGATGTCATCCCTGGTTAAAAGAATGTGTCCTCGATTTCTTTCCAGCTTTAAGAATTGCATCTGTACTCGGTCAAGGTAACTGCAGGGTAAACCTACATTTCTGTGTTTGGCCTGGAGCAGGCAGAGGGAGGGAAGGGGTAGGTCTGCTTGTGACTGGGTCTGGGGTTATTGATGATGTTGCATGCCAATATTACTAGGTCTTTCCAGTTTCTCTCCTCATGGCTTGTGCAGACTTTGTCACAGGAAGTAGGGATGCAGATTATTTGCTGCCTTGCTCTTGCTTGTGACTGTGGCCTGCAGTACATATCAGGACCTGCACTGTTGACACAGAGCACAGTAGGCTGTTATTAACCACTTGTTCTCCAGAGGATATACCCCACTTCCTGACCAGGCCTTTTTTTCCTATTTGGCATTGCACTGTTTCAACTGGTAATTGTGCGGTCCTGCAATGCTGTACCCAAACAAAATTTATGTCCTATCTCTCGCACAGATAGAGCTTTCAGTGGTATTTGATCACCTATGCGCTTTTTATTTTTCACATTATAAACAAAAAAAATACCGAAAATTTTTTAAAAAACACAATATTTTTACTTTCGGCTATAAAAAATATATAGCAAACTCAGTTAGTCATAAATTTAGGCCAAAATATATTCTACTACATGTTTTTGGTAAAAAAAAAAAAATCCCAGTAAGTGTATATTGATTGCTTTGTGAAAGTTATAGCAGCTACAAACTGTTGTATAGATAATGGAATTTACACAGCTTTTACTTTGACTGCTCATCACATTTCTTGAGGTGCTAAAATACCAGGACTGTACAAACACCCCCAAATGACCCCTTTTTGGAAAGTAGAAACCCTAAGCTATCTGCTGAGAGGCATGTTGAGTCCATGGAAGATTTTTTTTTTTTTTTTCCATAAATTTTTCGAAAATGACAAACTTTTTTTTTTTTTTTACTCAAAAGTTGCCACTTTAATGATATATTGCTCACACAAGCCATGGGTATATGTGGAATTACACGCCAAAATACATTCTGCTACTTCTACTGAGTATGGGGATACCACGTACCCGAGACTTTTTGGGAGCCTAGCCACATACAGGAGCCTGGAATCTAATAACCACTTTGAAAGCCTGAAGGTGTGTAACTTCCCAATTTCACTTCCTCACTATCAGTTTCAGAGGCCCTGAAATGCCAGGATAGCGCCCCCCCACCCCTTTTTATTTTTTGGAAAGTAAACGCCCAAAGCAATTTCTTTGCAGGAATGCCATTCAGCTGCAGCACCGACTTGTTTATTTTGACAGCAACAGGGTCTTGCTCTCATAATATACATAAGTAGGTGTGTGGAGTGCTGTTGGATGAGATTTTTCAGTGCTGGTTTTTAAATGCAGTTGCCGGGTTTTTTTTCTCCACTATAGCTCAGAGAATCAACTGTCACTTTCCGAGCTAAAATATACAAAGTTTCTTTCCCGAACTGAAAGAAAAGAGTTTCATTCATTCATTCTCTGAGCTATAGTGGGGGGGAAAAAAAAAAAAAAAAAAAAAACTGCGTTTGCATTTAAAAACCATTATGTACATAGAGTGACAGCCAGTGAGGGAGCCTTTCTGTATACACTGCTCCTCTCCTACCCCCTCCTTGCACACACTGCCCCCCCTCCGAAGATAACTTGTCACTGATTTTATTGCCACAAGTTTAAAATACAATATATACATGTAGCAAAAAAAAAAAAAAAAAAAAATTGAAAATTGGAGCTTCCCCACCCCCACAGACATTTTGGGTCGATTTTCAGCCACATGAATGCTGAATTTTTGTTATGTTTCAGAACCAAAATTTTCATTTCAGTGCACCACTAATTAATATTATGACAATGTAATTATGTGATTGCATATCGACCAGGAGCCACAACCCACTGTGTCCTGTGGACAGTGCAGTTGCGGGAGCGGCACTTGCACCAAGCGATGTACAGGTACGTCAACCTGTAGCTGCTGGTCAGGTAAGTGGTGGTAGTTAGAACTACCTGAATTGGCTGCACATGGCAGTAATGTTGCCAAAAGTGGCACAAATGTCTGAATTAGGCACAGGTAGTTCTTAGGGAAACTACAACCAGAAACCGGTCATTACGGACCTTTACTGAATTCACCAGATTATATGCTAAAAGGTATGTCACCACATTAATACTAAACTTCTGAATGTACAGTAAAGTTGTGCACAGATAATTCATATTCCTAGAAAACTTGCAAAAACAAACAACCCACAGGGATGCAACATAACTATAAACTGGCCAACTGCATTAAAGTGATCCCTCCTGTGCAAAAAGCCCAAAAGGGTCCAAGCACCCATGTTAACTTTAGTGCAAACATTTACAAGAACAAAATATGGTCCAAATGCAGCCCCAGACAGAACCTTGCTGTACTGCTAGACACAGTGCAACATTATGCTGCTAGGTGCAATTGTGTGAATGGGCCTGCCATCTTCTTTATTGCTGCATACAGAACTATATTTACATTTTTTTTTAGTCTCTGTTAAGTCCCAAATTTTACCTGGGAGGTGCTCAACCTTTTCCCAACAAATGAAATCAGCAAACATCTAGCATCACTTGTGTATTAAAAAAACAAAAAAAACCCCACACCATCTTAGAAGTTTTTGAAAGTTTATTATGTAAATTAAGCACGGAATATTTTTAGTTCTCCTTTTCTTGCACAGTCTTTGTGCCACGCAGACGTCCAGTACGACGAGCAGCAATAAGACCGACTTTGCGACCAGCTGGAGCATCTCTCCTGATAGTTGAAGGTTTGCCAATGTGCTGATGGTTACCACCACCGAAGGGATGTTCTACAGGCTGCAAAGAAGAGGTAAAAAGGTCAGTAAATGTATAGGTTGATTTCTATAATGCCCTTCAAAGTTACAGGACATACATTATTCAGTAAGTGGATATGAGGTTAAGTTCCAGGCATTACCACAGCGCATCAAGTGTTTGTACACTGCTCCAAAAAATTAAAGAAACTTTGAAAACATCAGATTTCAATGAGGAAAAATATCATGCTGATATGGACTGGGTAATGTGTTAGGAACGCAAGGATGCCCCATCGTTTGAATTCAGTCCTCTGTAGGGTGATAATTTTCTTTTCCATCAAAGACAAGGTGAAAAAATGATGTAGCAGGCTAGCCAAAATGGTACTCAGTGGTTTGTATGGCCCCCACGTGCTTGTATGCATGCATGAGAACGTCGGGGCATGCTCCTAATGAGATGACGGATGGTGTCCTGGGATATTTCCTCCCAGATCTGGACCAGGGCATCACTAAGCTCTTGGACAGTCTGAGGTGCAACCTGGTGACGTCGGATGGACCAAAACATGATCTCAGTTGTGTTCTATTAGATTTAGGCGAACATGGGGCCATTCAATGGTATCAATTCCTTCATCAAGGAACTGCCAACATACTCAGCACATGAGGCCGGGCATTGTCGTGCACCAGGAGGCACCCAGGACCCATTGCACCAGCATATGGTCTGACAATGAGTCCAAGGATTTCATCCAGATACCTAATGGCAGTCAGGGTGACATTGTCTAGCCTGTAGAGGTCTGTGCGTCCCTCCCTGCATATGCCTCCCCAGACTATCACCAAAATGGTCAAGCTGAATGTTACAGGCAGCATAACGTTCTCCACAGCTTCTCCAGACCCTTTCACATCTGTCACATGTGCTCAGGGTGAACCTGCTCTCATCTGTGAAAAGCACAGGGCGCCAGTGGTGGACCTGCCAATTCTGGTGTTGAATGGTAAATGCCAATCCAGCTCTATGGTGCCAGGCAGTGAGCACAGGGCCCACTAGAGGACGTCGGGCCCTCAAGCCACCCTCATGAAGTCTGTTTGGTCAGAGACATTCACACCAATGGCCTGCTGGATGTCATTTTGTAGGGCTCTGGCAGTGCTCATCCTGTACCTCCTTGCACAAAGGAGCAGATACCGGTCCTGCTGATAGGTTAAGGACCTTCTACAGTCCTATCCAGCCCTCCTAAAGTAACTGCCTGTCTCCTAGAATCTCCTCCATGCTCTTGAGACTGTGTTGGGAGACACAGCAAACCTTCTCCAGGATGGCACATCAATACATGCCATTGCCAGGAGTTGGACTGCCTGTGCAACCTCTGTAGGGTCCAGGTATCGCCTCATGCTACCAGTAGTGACACTGACCCTAGCCAAATGCATAACTAGTGAAAAACAGTAACGTCAAGAGGAGTAGGGGAAAAAAAAAATGTCAGTGGCCTCCACCTGTAAAACCATTCCTGTTTTGGGGGTCATCTCATTGTTGCACATCTAGTGTACCTGTTGTGAATTTCAATAACATCAAAAGCAGCTGAAACTGATTAACAATCCCCTCTGCTACTTAACTGACCAGATCAATATCCCAGGAGTTTAAATGATTTGATGCTATACTCTGATTAAAAAGTGTTCCTTTCATTTTTTTGAGCAGTGTATATTCAAGCTAAAAAGTAAATGTTAAAGACATTCTTAATGTAGAACTTTGCCCAGTTATGGTGGCAAAGCAGTCAGTATGTTTCACCATTGTGTACAATCTTTGTGGTGACAGTTATGCACATTGCAGGTATATACAGAATTGCAAAGTTGGAAAACAACCCAAGGATGTTTCCTGTCTCATCCATTAAAAAAAAAAAAGTTTTGAGATGGGAGGAGTAAAAATACTTCAGTTTTAAAAAGGCCTTGCCATTATTCAGAGAATTATGTTGCTTTGGTGAAGGGTTACACTGTCATTGCTACAAGTCCTACTGCACTTAAGCCACAGAATGTCCAGATTGCATACAGAAAAATGCCAAAAGACAATAATAGATGTATGCAAGAGGATTCTGTATTTGAGACAGAAATCTGTGCTAAATGTTGGAAGTTCTCTGTTCACAGCTGGCCACTATAATAAGCATTTTCAAGGCTTTGGAATTATGAGAACAAACTGTCTTCTGGATCTGTGGTTCTGAAAACACAAAAAAGAAAAGAAAACTGGTTGCCAAGGTGATTAGAGTTTCCTGGGGACTGGGAATTCCTATTTTTTGGCAGCGGCCATTGTACTGCTAACAGGCTATTGCATTCAGCAGGACCCACAGCTCCTGAACACAGTATTAGCGTCTGTATCTTATTGAATGCAGTCACTATTCAGCTCAGAATTTTCATTGCAGCTTCAGAAAAAAAAAAAAAAAAAAATATCACTTGAACCAAGTGGTGGTGCCGTCAACAGGGCCACCCAGAGTTTGAGTTTTACCAAAATTTGAACAGTTTGAGCAGTTCAAGTCAAAGTGTGTACACACACTCTTCGGCAAAAGCAGTGGCTGCCTAGATTCCAAATAAGGCGTGGAAAATGATCAGTGACCTAGGACTGCAATCTGGGGGATGGTGGACCTTGAGTGAACGCTGTGAGCTAGAGGTAACAGTTCAAGCATAGCAGCACGTGTATCTAGAGGCTAGTGGAAAATTAATTGAACCGGATGTCTTAATATAATTGTACTGGCTGATGCAGCATGTCTACACCAGGTTTTTACTGCAATGCTCTAGCTGCAGGATTAAGCCCTAACCAAAAGACTATCCACATTGGTCACAATCACAGTAGCTTTGTGTAAACCCTGCAGAGATCCTCTACTACGCAGGTGATGAAAGAGCTACATGACTGTTAGCAAGGGGTGGGGATGGGAGATTACAGTTACTATAAAGGGGCAAGAGCTGCACTAGTTATTTTTTTTTTTTTTGCACTATACAGCACTGCGCTGTAACTGACAATTGCGCAGTCATGCAACACTGTACACAAATTAACATTTATATAATTCTTTCCATACAAAAAGAGCCTTTTTTGGTGTTATTTGATCACCAGGTCTGTTTTACTTTTGTGCTATAAATGGAAATACACATACATACATACATATATACTATATATATATATATATACACACATACATACATACACACACACACACACACACATATATATACATACACACACACACAGGAATTTTTATACTAGTAATGGCAGCCATGATCGATTCATAGTGGGACTGCAGCGGGCATTCTAACAGTCAGAACGTACCGCTGCTGACCTCTCCAGTGACACGAATAATGATACTGGGCAGGAAGGGGTTAGCATGTGGGGGCAATCAAAGGGTACTGTTTTGTGCTGTGTGCAGTTTTACTAGTTTACTAGGGGACGTGCTGCTTTCTACCTAGTCTCCCCACACACGCCCCCGCTGACAGGAGAAATCTGTGTTTACACTCAGATCTCTCCCGTCGGCTGCTCCGTCAATAACAGAGTCCCGAATCGCTGGCAGGGCTCTGGTGATGAACATCTCTGGGAGCCAATGACAGTGCGGGTAGGGCTGCATACATGCCCCCTACCTGGAGATGTAAAATCACATATATGTTTACATGATTTTGCCCAGCGGGGCTGCCCTATAGCAGTAAAACTGCTATAGGGCAGCGGTTAATGCTGAATTAAACTTATTCAAGGGAGAAAGACTTGTGAATCAAAATCTTATCACACCTGGGAAAACGTCAAGGCGCGCGCACGCACACACACACACACACACACACACGTGAAAACCAAAATTTGATGGGTCAATCCAATGACATGACAACTTCTACATGCTGCTTTGTACAGGCAGAAGCCCTCTTCCTCTTAACCACAAGGCCCAAATATATTTTTTATGCATGTAATGTATAGCAAAAATGTGGGATTAGATAATAAAAACTTACATTCATAGCCACACCACGGACACGTGGCCAGCAGTTTCTCTTAGCCTTATACTTGTGGTACGCACGACCTGCCTTCAGGATGGGCTTATCAATACGTCCTCCACCAGCAACAACTCCTGCATTTAGAAGGCATTATCAAACCACTTGATAAGGGACACAGTTGTAATATATAATTAAGAACTAAGCTTATGTTTTAATGCAGCAAGGCTAAAATATTCTGGGTGGCCAACAGAGCTAAGGCACTCACCAACAATTGCTCGGTTTGCAGAAGAGATAACTTTCTTGGAGCCAGAGGGCAGCTTTACTCTGGTCTTCTTTGTTTCAGGATTGTGGGAGATGACTGTGGCATAATTGCCAGATGCACGAGCCAGCTTGCCACGATCACCTGGCTTCTCCTCTACACAACAAACAATAGTTCCTTCGGGCATGGTGCCAACAGGGAGGACATTACCAATATTGAGCTGAGCTAAAAGAAAAATAAACAAACAACATTAGGTAAGAAACAAGTTTATCAGCAAGAGATACAAGTATCATTCCAAAAAAATGGTTACATAAAGAGCAAACTCTTATCCAAGCTGCAGATTAAGCAGCAAAAAGAAACTGGATATTCACAGATTAGAAACATTAGAGATCTGCCATTGTCTGCCATTGGCAACCACTTGAAAATACTTTTGTCTATTTTAATCGATTGGTTTCAATAGTTGCTAACCTGGACCAAATATACAGTCGAGGGACATTTATGTACTTCTTTGCATACTTATTTCACGTCAATGAGTTGAACCCACTGGATCAGCATAACAGATAGTCATTACAAAAGGAAATATTAAGGATGGCAGCCTACATATTCTCTCACAACAGCCTTTTTAACCATTAGCCGCCCGGCCAATGGCCGTTTGGCGGCTTCAAATGCGCTCCTGTATTCCGGGTGCACGCCATTTGGCGTGCTCCCGCACATGCGCAGTTTGCGCTAATGCAGAGCGGCGCAGTAGCGCGATCTGTCACCAGCCGTGCACCTCGGACACGGCCAATGACAGATCCGAGTACCGGCTCCCGTAGCTGGTACCATGTGACCTGCTGTGACCAATCACAGCAGGTCACATGATAGTTGTATACAATGGATGGCTTCATTCATGATGCCATCCATTGTATACTAGTGCCTAGCTGTGAATGGTCACAGCTAATTACATGCACATGTCATGTGATTAGCTGTGACAAAATCACAGCTAAGCACAAAAAAAAAAAAAAAAAAAAAAGCTGAATGAATCGATTTCATTCAGCTAAATGCTTGCTTATAGCAAAGTAATTCTTTGCTATAAGCAAACTGTGTAAAAAAAAAAAAAAAAAAAAAATACTGATCACTTCCCCAAAGTAGTACAATGTTACTATGGTAACATTGTACTACTTTGGTCATAGTAAAATATGAAAAAAAATCTTAATAAAAATAAAAACAAAAATATAATAAAAAAAAATATAATAAAAAAATAAAAAAAAATATATGTATTTTTTTTTTCATACTGTCACCAGTCAGTGTCCCTGTTTACCACCATGCCAGTTATATGAAGACGCTGTACTGCACTGGTGACAGTATGTAAAAAAAAAAAAAAAAAAAAAAAAAAAAAAAAAAAAGTGAAAATAATTTTTTTAATTTTTTCATTTTCCAAAAAAATATGACAAAAAAATACAACTTCAAAAAACTCGCCATGCCTCTTATGAAGTACGTCGGACTGTCTACTCTGCAAAAAGGGGTCATTTGGGGATATCTGTACTATTCTGACATTCTTGGACCTCAAGAAATTAGATTGGCTGTCAGTACTTCAGGATTGATCAATTTTCAGATCTATACCATAGTTTGTGAACTCTATAACTTTCCTACAAACTAAAAAATACATCCTAATTTGGGTTATTTCCCCAAAGACATGTAGCAGAATACATCTCGGCCTAAATTTATGAAGAACAATTATTTATTTGTAAACTTTTATAACAGAAACAAAGAAAATTAGTTTTTTTCAAAATTTTTGGTCTTTTTTTGTTAATTTAGCAAAAAATAAAAACCCCAGCGGTGATTAAATACCACCAAAAGAAAGCTCTAGTTGTGTGAAGAAAATGATAAAATTTTAGTTTGGGTACAGTGTTGTATGACCGCGCAATTGTCATTCAAAGTGAGAGAGCGCTGAAACCTGAAAAATGGCCTGGGCAGGAAGGTGTAAAATCACACAGTATTGAAACGGTTAAGCAAACTTATTTTGTCTTAAAAATCTTTGGAAATCAGTCCGTGAGACCACATTAGATATGTCAAAACAGAGATCCACATTCTTTTACAATTTACAGCGCTGTCATTTTCTGTAAACTGCAATGCAATATGCCCCCTAAAAATGTCATTTCCTCCTTTTTGGCATTCCCTGCAACAAAAATTTAATTTTTGGTGAGATATTCCCCAAAGGGAAATCCAGACTTAAGCTAGGTTCACACCTATGCAGTTTGCGTTTGACCCGTTTCTGCACCTGCATTTTGCAGTTTTAATTTTTTTTTCTTGTTGCAAGGCAGATTTAAAATGCAAAAAAAAAAAAAAAAAAAACACACATTAAAAAAATGCACTACATGCTTTTCTGCAGCGTTCCAATTGAAGTCCATAGACACAAAAACGCAAATTTTGCATTAAAAAAAAGCCTGAACCTTACCAAAAAAACGCACGAGATGTGAACGTGTCCCATAGGAATCATGTTAAATTGACTGTAGTGCGTTTCTGCAAAACGCTGCGGAGAAGGCTTAGATGTGAACTTGGGGTAAAGGGATGCAGACCCTGCAATTTTTCTCATTAGCGCCCTGCAGGTGCAGCAGATGATTGATATTTATAAAGTCACTCCCATACAGATTCACTCTGCACATGGACACAAACATCTATTTCTTCAAAATAAAAAAAAAAAAAAAGTAGGAATCTACAACAAAGTTTGTTAAAATCCTTGTACATTGATCACCCGGAGGGGGTGGGGGTGGGGCGATAACAAAAGTGGAGCTACTCTCTAATACTTTCACTGCCACAGAAAACCATTTAACCATTTGTGGCCAAACAACCACTTTACCTCCTGCCAGTTCTATTTCTGAATTATCACCAATTTATGTCTTAGCTCCAGATTAAAGTGTTACAGTGCACTGGATTTGAATGGCTGCCTTTTCTGTAGTCCTTTAAATGTTTCTAGGATGAAACAATGGCTAAATGGTTAGCACTTCCGCCTGGCTGTACTACGGTCGTTGGTTCGAATCCCAGCCACGGCACCACCTGCCTGGAGTTTGCATGTTCTCCTTGTGCCTGCGTGGGTTTCCTCCAGGTACTCCGGTTTCCTCCCACACTCCAAAGACATGCTGGTAGGTTAATTGAATCTTGTCTAATTTGGCCCTAATATGTGTATGTATGAATGTGAGTTAGAAATGCCATTTTACCTTTCTTGCCACAGTAGACAAACTGACCAGTATGGATACCCTCAGCTGCAATGAAAAGTTCAGTCCTCTTTTTGAACCTGTAAGGGTCACGGAAGGCAACTTTAGCAAGTGGAGCACCACGGCCAGGATCGTGGATAATGTCCTGTGGTAGAACAAGAACTTATTTTAATTACAGAAGTTAACATTTTTCCAACAGTTAGCAGAGAACTACTATTCAAATGCTTTTATTTATGACTAGATCTTCCTTGCACACCTTTCAGGAGTAACTATTATATTTTTTACATTTCAGGCAGAAGAACTCTGAAAAGTAGGTATTCAACATATTCTTTTACAGACACTGACATCTTCACTTCTGGGTGCGTCGATGTGTTCCTCACTGCGCTGTGATTACATCAGCCTGCCGATACATTCTCCCACAACCTAGAAGTGTTGAACAGCAGCATTGCTCATAGCTCTGCGAACATACTGACTTCCTGCCACCAGAAAAGACAACTAAAATAAAAAAAAACTTATTTTGCAGAGTTCATCTACTTGAAATTTTATCTTTGCAACAAGGTCACCACTGTAACAAAACCTGAAAAATGTACCCCTGTCTAATGACCAGACTGATTTCAATCAGGGGATTATAACTTTTTTCTTCAATAGCTATAAAATGCATAGGCACAATGGAAAGTAAATTCATAAAAAGCGTCTGAGACAACCTGTCTCAACTGGAACACAGCCAATCTGCTTTTAGATTTTCATTTTTCCAAGCTGCACAGAAAAAAATAAAAGCTAGATGATTGGTTGCTATGGGCAATGGCACCTGTTAAAACAGAACTCATCTCAGACACTTTTTATTAAATTCCCTCCAATGTGCTTTCAATATCAGTGTGATGGTGGTCAGAAGGCTTCAATCCCCCACCAGGCAAATGCATGGGCAAAGGGGAACTGTGCATTTTGCTCTGCCCTTCGACAGTAAAGACCAAAAGCAGACAATTGATAGACAAAGAATTGGTTTCATGCAATAATGTTAGGGGACTGCTCTCAAATGAAAGTGATCTCTACCCCAATTTATCAGACTATCGCCTACTCTGCTCATTTTTAGGCGATCTCTGAAAGCCTATCTCTTCAGGGAAGCCTATCCAGCCCTCAGCTAATGGAATCTTCTATTCTTCCAACCAGTCCATCCCCCACAGTTACCTTTTGTACCACCAGCCCCTCCCTCCTAGATTGTAAGCTCCAAGGAGCAGGGCCCTCCTATCCCTCTTGTATTGAACTGTATTGTTGCTGTATTGTCTCCCTTTATATTGTAAAGCGCTGAGCAAACTTTTGGCGCTATATAAATCCTGTATAATAATAATAATCACCAGGAGTCCAACTTGGTCACAGAGGGCACACAGTGCCCCCAAACATGTGTAAAACATTGTGGGCAACATTCACATGCGAGCTTCAGATATTGTACTTCCACAATTGCACATATTCCTAAATCCTTAAAAAAAAAAAAAAAAAAAGTCCTGCAAACCTTTGCCTTGGCACACAGACACACCAGAAATCAGGGCATACATCTACATAGAACGATCACTAAGAGCAGCGCTAGATAAATGGTACTCACTTTCACAATGCCCTTGATGTAGCCATGCCTTTCTGCGAAGTCGACAGCCCTGAGCTTAGCAGGTCCTTTCCTGTGCTTGACATGGGCTCTGAAAACAGACCCTGCACCTTTTCTCTGTCCCCTGATTACACGTCCCATGGTGCACTAAAAACAAAAAATAGTTCAAAAGACATATTAAATGAGTTATTGGATATGTAAAACCAAAACACCCACAAAACTACAAAATGCTCCAAAACTTGTAGAAACTTTATTTACTAAACATACAACAGCTAACAGACATACTGCAGTTATAGTCTTTATACCATGTCAATTGTCTTCTTTCAGATGTTATGGAGGTTTCACAGCATGATTTCCACACAGCAACAATTCATGTAAACTTCCTACATCTTCAATGAGAAGACTTAGAGAAGTATGGGAATAGAAGAAAAAACACAACCCCCCCATAATGCAGCAGCGCTCCACCAGCTCTAAACCCGAGAAGTGAGCAATCACAACCGCTGATAGCCAAGTTCTCTGTTCGCTTGGAGCCGAGATTGGTGACTCTCAGTCACCACTCTCTGCTCTGCCCCTGACCACTGGGCTGGGGAGGGGGCAGGAGCCACGTGATGAGAGGCCAAGTCAGCTGCTGACCAAGCATCTGAGTGGATCCTGACAATATGGTCAAGATCCTTCCAGACCATGCAGCAGCTCTGCGACAACAGTGGGCTTTAGACCACTGCCGGCTGATTCTGGGTAACAGGAAAGCCAAAGTAAGTGCAATCTTGCGACCCATAAGTATGAAAGGTTCTGTGTATGGAGAGATCTGGAGTCTATTAGACCCCCAAAGCAGCTGATCAAACCAAAATCTGTTTGATCAGATGATTTACAAGCCAATAACTGTTTGTAAGCAACAAACTGACATTGGAAGGAACAAAATCCTTGTTGCTTCTGGCTTCTTAGGCTAGGTTCACACCTATGCAGGTTGCGATTGATGCATTTTTCTGGTGCATGCTGTTGTACAGTTTGCGGTTTTTCACATTTTTGGGATGTGTTCATGTTGCTAGAAGGTGTCTTGTCATGCAAGAAATGCAACAAAAACGCATGTATGTGCATTTTTTATGCATTTCCATTAAAGTCTAAGGAACCAAAAAAAAAAAAAAAAAAACAATCTGGTGCAGGCAAAATGGTCCCTGACCGTTTCCTAAACATGCACACTTTATAGTACATTTAACATGATTTCCTATGAGTCGTGTGAAATGGACTGTACTGTATTTTTGAAAACTTACAAAACGCTAGAATTTAAAAACCTGCCCCCCTACATCACACGGGAGGGGAATATGCTGTACCTTCCTCCTCTCAGCAATACTGAGCTCCCCAATTGCTCAGGAGAGCCTGGTAAGAGTGGCTGGGGCACCCTCTTCCACCACCCATAAGAGTGATCGAGTGGGTGTATAGCTGCTTGGATCACAGTTAACATGTACAGAATCACTGGCCGCAAAAAAAACTCTCTCAATCCTTGTTGCAGCAATGACTGCGACATATACATTCACCGGCCACTTTATTAGGTACACCTGTCTAGTGCCAAGAAAATATCCCCCACACCATTACACCACCACCTGCCTGGAACATTGATACAAGGCAGGATGGATCCATGCTTCCATGTTTACACCAAATTCTGACCACATCATCTGAACATTGCAGCAACCAGTCTGCCCATTCTCCTCTGACATCAACAAGGCATTTTCGTCCACACAACTGCCATTCAATGGATATTTTCTCTTTTTTGGACCATTCTCTGTAATCCCCAGAGATGGTTGTACATCAAAATCTCAGTAGATCATCAGTTTTTGAAATGCTCAGACCAGCCCATCTGGCACCAACAACCATGCCACATTCAAAGTTAATTAAATCCCCTTTCTTCCCCATTCTGATGCACGGTTTCAACTTCAGCAAGTAGTCTTCACCACAGCTAGATGCCTAAATGCATTGAGTTGCAGCCATGTGATTGGCTGATTAGCAATTTGTGTTCCCAAGCAATTGAACAGGTGTATCTAATAAAGTGTCGGGTGAATGTATACACATCCAGTGAATGGGAAGCAGTTAAACAAATCACACAGCACTATGATGTGAACGGCCATTGTACAGGCCAATGTGATTTCTATGGCCATGTACAGCAATGACAGAACTCGCCCTGCTGTGGTCTCATCCATTCGGGCCTACTGTCTTTCAATATGTTGTATATGGGCATCGGAATACAGCTTGCCAGGCTTCCATATACAAGCCACTAGTGTATGTCGTCTATGGGCAATCCACTGCCTGGTCACGGCAAATCCTAAGCAGCTGAATACAATGACTGTCCATTGGGGTGAGAGCAGAGCAGCCAGGAGATGTGTATACAGAGTACTATTGGTGTCCCTCTACACTCAGCCTGCCGCCATAGTACCATGGAGGAGCAAAGCCGGCCCGGCATCACACCTATATCCCCCCAATTCCTCATCCAATCCCATCAATAGTCCGTCTACCGGCACCCAGCGGAGTGCAGCGCCCCGTCCTCAGCGACAAGGGGTCTAAGGAGGCGGGATGGCCGCCCTCCACGGCGGATTACAATGCGGACCCATAGCGCCATCATCCTACCTAGGCCCGGGCTATCCGCGAAGAGGAAGTTCCCAGCACCAAGCAGCGGATTTCTTCCGGAGAAAGAGACGCGCAAGGCTACATGGGTAGGCACGTCATGAAAAAAAACATCTCGGCGGCCATATTTGAATTGGGCAAAGCCTTTTAAACGGATGATCGTGTTATTAATTGATGATTAACCATTTGTCCTCCAGAGGATTTACCCCCCTTCCGCACCAGGCCATTTTTTGCATTACTTTGACTGACAATTGCATGGTCATGCAGCGCTGCACCCAAATGAAATTTATGTTCTTTTTCCCCCACAAATTAAGCTCTTGTTCAGTGGTATTTGAGCGCCTGTGCGGTTTTATTTTTTGTGCTATGAAAGAAAGAAAAAAAAAAGACCAACAACTTTGAGAATTTTTTTTTGACTTTGTTATTAACTAGTTGCCGACCGCAGATAGCTGAATGACGGCTGCATTGCGGCCGGCCAGTTCTGGGTGGACATCATATGACGTGCTCCCAGAACGCGCTCTCCTGCGCACGCACCCCCGGCGATCTACGGCCACAGCTGATCACGTGATGTGGTAAAAGGCCACAGCGGCCTTTTACCACGCGATCAGCTGTGTCCAATGCCACGCCGATCACAGGGAAATGCAATTGCCGGTTCTCAGCTGCACTTTCTTCACACTGTCAGAGCGTGAGGAAAGTACTTTCAAACTGGCATTTGTCAGAGCATGGATTGGTACCGATCATCGGTGCCCAGCAGTGCCACCCACCAAGTTCCACCCAGCAGTGCCACCTACCTGTGCCCATCAGTGCAGCCCAGCAGTGCCAGCAGTCAGTGCCCAGAGGTTATTCCAGTCAATGCCCAGCAGTTGCGCCAGTCAATGCCGCCTATCGGTACCCATCATTAGTGCCACCTATCCGTGCCACCTCATTAGTGTCGCTTATCAGTTCCCATTAACGCACATCAGTGAAGGAGAAAAATTACCTGTTTGCAAAATTTTATAATAGAAACAAAGAAACTTTTTTTTTTTTAATTTTTTTGCAATTTTTTTGTTTATAACCCAAAAAGTAAAACACCCAGCAGTGATTAAATACCACCAAAGGAAAGCTCTATTTAGGAGAAAAAAAAATTATAAAAATTTCATATGGGTACAATTTTGCATGACCGCGCAATTGTCATTCAAAGTAAGACAGTGCTGAAAGCTGGCCTGGTAAGGGGGTATAAGTGCCCGGTAGGCAAGTGGTTAAACATGTCCAGTAAAAAAAAAAAATGTTAAAAAATCAAATTTCGTCATAAATTTACACCAAACTGTATTCTGCTACATGTCTTTGCAAAAAAATCCTGATAAGTGTAAATTAATTGGTTTACATTAAAGTTACAGTATTTACAAATGGTGGTATATATACTGGGCTTTTTTAAAAAAAATATATATTTTTACTAGTAATGGCAGCGATCAGCGACTTATAGCAGGACTGTGGCGGGCATTCTGACACTGGGCGGGGAACGGACTTGGTTTCACTGACATCCCCAGTGACACCAATAAAGTGATCAGTGCTAATAAAAAGCACTGACACTGTACTAATGGCACTGAGCAGGAAGGGGTAACATCTGGGGTGATCAAAGGGTTAACTGTGTGCTATTTTACATGATGTTCTATGTTTGTGCTGCACTGTAAGCATACTGCTTTGCATGGCTGTGCAAGCAGTGTGCAGGAGCTGACGGGACAGAACTGTTTTGTTTACTAACAGTTCCCCCCATCAGAGATCCTCGGCAATCACTGGCCGGAACCCAGTGATTGACAGCCGCAAATGGTGGCGCTGCTAGGGCGGCCTCTACCCAAAAGGACAAAATTATATATATATATATATATATATATATATATTAATAATATATATAAGAATTTGCGCACCTCTGCCGAACTGTAGCAGTATTTCTGCTATGGGGCAGCGCTAAAACTAAAAACAAAACACAGTCTTTGACAAGTCAAGTCCTTTATTAAAAGAAAAAACTAAAAGAATGTCCCCCGCAGTAGATGCCACATCAATGACGATGCCTGCTGTCACCGCCGCTGCTGCCACCAACCCGAAAAAAAAAAGGCTCCGCTTCCGATGTCCCCGGGTGACCTTGCCCCTTACATATTTAAGAACTGTCAAACCACCGGAGCAGGCAGAAGGCTGGAAGCCATCATCGGAAATGGAGCCTTTTTTTTTTTATTCTTTTCTCTGGGCGGTGGGCATCATGATTGACGTTGGATCTACTGTGGGGGACATTCTTTTAGTTTTTTTCTTTTATTAAAGGACTTGTCAAAGACCGTGTCCTGTCTTTTTTTTCACTACACTTTTTTTTTTTGTGAATGAGTATGGAATACCATGTATCCCATACTCATTCACATGGGGGGGCGGGATCTGAGGGCCCCCTTGTTGAAAGGAGGCTTCCAGATACTGATAAGCCCCCTGCCTGCAGACCCCCACAACCACAGGCCAGGGTTGTGGGGAATAGGCCCTTGTCCCCATCAACATGGGGACAAGGTGCTTTGGGGGGCA